CAGTGATTTGAAATGACAGCAAACAGCTGATGTGTGATGTGAATGAGACTGTCACACTGATGACTTCATGTTGAAAGAGGTGAGGTGTGTGTTTGAGGCACTGAAGGCTGCAGCTCCTGAACAAACCTGTTTCATTAGCAGTGACTGTTGTGTGGTGGAGCTAGTAGCTACGCTAACACAACTCCAGCTTCACCCTCATTCGGTCAGCTAACAGAAGCTTCAGAAGCTTTGATAGTTTAATGTGGAAGCTCTGACTAACTTCAGAAAATGATCATAATACCACCTTCAGAATTGAAATAAGAATAATATGTTCACACCAACACAGAAGCTGTGTCCCAGTTCAGGGTCCCATCCTTCTGAGGATGCATTCAAAGACCAACTGTGTCACAGCGACTAGTCTCCCATTTCAAAGGCTCCTTCAAATATGTCCTTCATTTCCTGGGCAACAAAGGCTCCAACAGGTGGATCCTTCTCGGTCCAAAATATCCCAAGATTCCTTGCGCGTCGGTAAAGAAAATAATATGTCAACAAACAACACACATGACAAGAGAGCCTCTTTTAAATGTCAGTATTGTGTTTCAACTCAGTTGAACAGATAAAGGTTCAACTGTTAAAACCAAGGACCTTAAAACAACAAGTTTTTATAAAGAAAACGTATGTGTTGTCAAGGTTGCTAGGCAACAGGAGCTGCGCTTCGTGATGTAATAAGAACAGGAACAGCTCTGGAAATCCTCTGTGGACCAGACTGTCAGTTCGGTTCAGCCTGCGAAGAACCACATCTTCATGGACCACGTCTTCTGAAGGATGTGGCCCCTGAACTGAGACACAGCTATAATGTCCTTTTTTAAAAAAAATTCAATCTCTGTTTTGTGTTTTTAGAACTAAAGGTGTAGTTCACCTAAATCATAAAACATTCTCTTCCCTCCAGTGGTGTCTACCCATGTGGGTAGCTTTGGTTTCGTTCTCCCAGGTCTTGAGACTTCTACCCCCATCACTAAATACTGTTCTGTTTGTGGAGCTTAGAGCTTCAAAGACTTTCAACAGCAGCATGTTTTTCTATTAACTCTGTTAATAGAGTCTCCACACAACACAGTCAGCTGTTTACACTGAGCAAAATCTCAACTGTTTGTAATGATGTTAAGTGTTTTTACATGTAATTTATCACCAGACAAAACTGATGACATTGAACAGTCCAGCAAAATGTTCAGGTTTAGATTCAGGTTTAGAATCAGATTCAGGTTCAGATTCAGGTTCAGGTTTAGAATCAGATTCAGGTTTAGAATCAGATTCAGGTTTAGATTCAGGTTCAGGTTTACAATCAGATTCAGGTTTAGATTCAGGTTCAGATTCAGATTCGGATTCAGGTTCAGATTCAGGTTTAGAATCAGATTCAGGTTTAGATTCAGGTTAAGATTCAGGTTCGGATTCAGATTCGGATTCAGGTTCAGATTCAGGTTTAGAATCAGATTCAGGTTTAGATTCAGGTTCAGGTTAAGATTCAGGTTCGGATTCAGGTTCAGATTCAGGTTCAGGTTAAGATTCAGGTTTAGATTCAGGTTTAGAATCAGATTCAGGATTAGATTCAGGTTCGGATTCAGATTCAAGTTCAGATTCAGGTTTAGAATCAGATTCAGGTTTAAAATCAGGTTCAGGTTTAGAGTAAGGTTCAGGTTTAGATTCAGGTTCAGGTTCAGATTCAGGTTTAGAATCAGTTTCAGGTTTAGATTCAGGTTAGAATCAGATTCAGGTTCAGGTTGTCGATTAACATTAAAAGGTCTGTGACAGAAGGTGAACTCCTGTTTCTATGTCAGACCAGACGTCCACAGGTTCAACATACAGATCTCTTCCTGCACTGACTGCTGTGTGTCATCCTGTGTGGACATAGCTCATGTTCATACAGCTGAAGTTTCCACCCCTCATGTGTTAGAGTCTCAGAGGCAGAACAACCAAACACCCACATGGGCAGGTACAGTTCTACTGTAGCAGCAGCAGCAGCAGCTGGAGAACATGTTCATGTGATCTGTCAGTGAGTGACACTCTCTCCATCAACATGTAACTGAGGTGATGATGATGATGAAGTCCTTTAAAGCTTTGAATAGGATCTAAGTCTAAGATGGTTTGACCTAATGGATTTATTTGTCTTTAAACCAGGGGGGGTCAGCTGTCAGCTAAATGCTGTCATATTATGTCACATGACATGTTGTCAGCTCGTTTTCTCACACAGAAACACTTTGATCTCTAAAGACCAGCTGAAGATTTGATTGTGATGTTCCTTTTTATCTTATTTACTGGAGGTTAATGAGTCAAAACTCTGAGTGACGACATGTTGTAAATATCATTTTCCAGCTGTTTCATTACTGTTATCAAAGAGCCACTACACCAGATCTCTCTATACATGTGACAGAAAGTTCCTATTACAGACTCAGATTAGTTACAACCTTCAGGATGACGTGAACTGTGAACATGAGACTGTGGACGTTTGATTTAACTCCTGAACTGATTGTGAACAGCAGGATATGTGTTTTATTTCTGTGTGTGTGTGTTGAGTTTTAATGGAGGCAGAATGTAGTGAAGTATGTTCTCCATCTGCACTAGATGAGAAATGATTTATGATTTATATTAACACTTAGAATCACTGTGTGGAGCCGCACACATAGACGTGTTTGTGTCACTTCCTGTTCTTCTGGCTAAATGACCAGAAACAGACTGACTTCATACAGCTCCACAGTGTTGGCATGTTTTATATTAATATTCTATATCACAGATACAGAGTGTGGAGAAGGTTTGTTGAACAACACATCTTTAATATGTTTCTATAGATCTACTGGAAAATTTAAATGTTTAAATTGGGTTCATCATCTTAAATAGTTTGTTGTATTCATGATATACTGTGGGGGGGTTAGGGTTGGGGCGGGGGGGTCCAGTGAAAATTAGTCTATGGAGGCTCTTGCTTCAGTATTAGACTCCGCGCCCTGCCCACCTCCCTAACCTACATATTTATGGTTCCTCCTCCTCTGACACATTAAACACAGCAGGTACAGATATAAACTCTCATCATGTAAAATGAACTTTATGGATCTTTCTCATCAAGATTTTAATTTCAGCCCAACGTTCACAAACAAGGCAGTTTAACCTCTTCTAGTCTGTGTCGGCTGTTTCACTACGGATACTTCATGTGTCATCACCAGTTTTTGGATTAATAACTTCCATTGTCCTTAACGAGGAGCTGACTTTGTGTCTTTGATAATTATTTAAACGAAAAACAGGAAACAAGCTGAAGGAGAGGAACAGCTCAGCTGTGACACTGAGTCTGGACTGTGGAGAGGTTGACTGACTGACTGATGACAGACTGACTAATGACTATCTGACTGACTGACTGACTGCCTGATGACTGACTGATGACTATCTGACTGACTGACCGTCTGATGACTATCTGATGACTGACTATCTGACTGACTGACTGTCTGATGACTATCTGACTGACTAATGACTATCTGACTGACTGACTGTCTGATGACTGACTGATGACTATCTGACTGACTGACAGTCTGATGACTATCTGACTGACTGATTGATGACTGACTGACTGTCTGACTGACTGACTATCTGACTGACTGACTGTCTGATGACTGACTGACTGACTGACAGTCTGATGACTATCTGACTGACTGATTGCTGACTGACTGACTGTCTGATGACTATCTGACTGACTGATTGATGACTGATTGTCTGACTGACTGACTGACTGACTGACTGACTGACTGACTGACTGACTGGTGATGTGTGTGTTTGTGTGTCATGGTGGAACTACAGTTAACACTTAATAAAACACATGAAAACAGGCAGAACACAAACAGCTTCGTTAGTTTGACTCATGAGCTGCAGATACTCACAGCACACAGGAAGTGTTTCCAGGGGACACTAAAAGGTGATGGACCAGGCACTTGTTCAAAGCTTTGTGACTTTTGAAGTTAAAAGCATTGAACACCAGTCTGGTCCATCACTTTTTAGTGTCCCCTGGAAACTGGAAACAATTCCTGATGAAGCTGTTTGTGTCGGTTTCCTTCAGCCTCAGTGTTTTGAGCTTCAGGGCCACCGTACAGACCGGTGCCTGTTGACGTGACGATGTCTTTGGTGGAGTCAGATACCTGACCAGTCTGCTGTGACGTGTCTGGTGGACTGTGGTTTGGGGCTAGGGGGTAAATAAGAAAAGTCAAAGACCCCTTCAGTTTCCATGGAAACGTCCTCACTGTGAGAACGGAGATGACACCAGAATATAAACTGTAATACTGCTGCTCTGTAGTTCCTTCTCGGTACCTTGTCTGTCTGTAACAATGTGGAGGAGCTTCTGTTTCATGGGTCGATCAAAAGGACCAGAGCCATGTTCACATGTTTCAGTCTATTGATTACTGATCAGTTTTTACTGATCACAGTTTTTCAGCTTCAGGGAAACTGTTGCTTTCCTAGACCTGAAACCAGGTGGTGTGATCCAGCTCAGTGATCATCGGGTCTGGTGACATCACCACAGAGTGATGATGTCACTGACAGACCCACAGGATCACTGTGATGGATTACCTGACCCAGGTAAACACATGAAAACTATGGACTGGTCCTTTAAAATCAACCTACAAAGAAAGACATAAACAAAGTGACGTGTGAAACATCACTGAGGTCAAAGTGCTAAAAACAATATACATCTCAAAATCTGCATCTAGGGTCACAAGGTCACGAGGTCACCGACTCTAAAGAAGGTCAAACCACTGTGTGTGTGTGTGTGTGTGTGTGTGTGTGTGTGTGTGTGTGTGCTTCCTGCTGTTACAGATGTGTGTGTGAACTGAAGCCTCATCACTTCCTCTGATGTCAGATCAGCTGATCAACAGGAGACGATTTTCTCTCTGAATCTACGATTTATCAACTTCATGAAAAGAAGTGTGTGTGTATGTGTGTGTGTGTGTGTGTGTGTATTAGAGTGCAGTGTGCGGGGGGCAGTACATACTGGATCACTGAAAGGCTTGGTGGAAGCGGGGCAGTGTGGTGGGGGTGCTCAGGTTGGATATGAAGGGGAGCCCCTGTAGTGGACTCTCTGCAGCCTCCGGGCCCTCAGAGGACTGGGGGGGCAGCTGGACGAGAGGTGCGGGCTCTTCGGCGGGTGGGTAGGCGACACCCTGCCCCCCGCTGCCCCCCGCCTGGTTGTATGGGGGCCCGTTGAGCGGAAGGAAGTTGAAAAGCTGTGAGAAGTCCATCAGAGAGGAGGACGAGGCCAGAGAGTCGCCCGCAGCGGCTGCCGCCGCCGTGGACATTTTGGACAGGGACACGTCCTCGCTCGCCCCCTCCAGCCCCCCCACCTGAGGCTCCAGCTCCAGTTTGGAGGAGGAGAGCTGTGGTTCTGGGGCAGCAGAGGAGGAGGAGGGCATGCTGCTCTGCAGCTCCATCAGGTAGGTCTCCAGTTCTCCCTTTAGGTGGTGCTCCCGCTCCGCAGAGGAGGCGCTGTATGAGGTAAAGTTGGAGCCCAGTGGGTACTTCAGAGAGAAGGGGTGTGTGTGGGGGGGGAAGGGCTCTGTGTCCAGGACGGGGCCTGTGTACATGTTGAGCTGGTGTGGCCTCGGCGTCAGCATCCCCGGGAGCTCGCCCTTGATGCCCCCGGACGCCAGGTCGTAGACAATGGGCTCCAGCGAATCAGCTGGCTCAGTTTTTACCCTCAGCAGCTCCTGGGGGTGGCTCTTCTTCATGTGACGTGTCAGGTGGTCCTTCCTGCCGAAGCGCTGGGCACAGTACTGACACAGGAAGTCCTTGCGTCCAGTGTGCACCACCATGTGGCGTCGCACATCCTTCCGGGTGTAAAATCGGCGCTCGCAGTGCTCGCAGCGATGCTTCTTCTCTTTGGTCCCGCCTGAGGACTTGCCAGCGTGCGTTTTGAGGTGCTCGAGAAGAACCCCGGTGCTGGGGAACGGCTGCAGGCACACCTGGCAGGTGAGGTCTCCGCTGTTGGCGGCGTGGAGGGCGAGGTGGCGTTTGAAGCCCAGCTTGGTGTTGTAGCTCTTGCCGCACTCCTGACAGGTGAAGGCCTCCTTGTACGGGTCGTGAGTGTGCAGGTGGTTCTTTAAGTGATCCTTGCGGTGGAACATTTTCTCACAGTATGAACACTTGTGGTTTTTTTCCGGCGAGTGAGTTGCCATATGCCTTTGAACACAGACACATTCTATGAGCAGAATAATTATGGTTAAGTAGCATGCTTTACACAGACACACAAACACATCAACACATCACTGCGACTACTTCACACTATGTTACAGTAAAGAAAAGCAACATGGCGCAGCCTCTGTACCTTAGCAGCTTGTATTTGGAGACGAACGCCTTGGTGCAGTCGGGGTGGGAGCAGCGGTATGGTCTTTCTCCTGTGTGAGAGTACGAGTGCACCTTCAACTTCTCCAGACTGTTGAAAGCTTTCTGACACTCCTGGCAGGGGAAGTTCTTCTTGGGCTTCCCCTCGGCTCTCCTGCGCCTCCCCGTGGGTGGCGTGAGCTTGGCTTTCTCCAAGATGTGGTCACGGTGGCCCTGGGTTCCTGTGGCCATGGCACCCTAAGGCAGACCAGCTACATGGACAGGGGCGCAGAGCCCAACTAGTACTGATGCAATTATTCTATCCAGTTTTATGTGCTCAACACCGCCCGGACTCAGAGGCCTGCAGGACACAGAGAGAGAGGATCATGTGAGCGGTTGATCTGAGGTCTGAGGTTCAACTTCATCTGATGATCCTGGATGTTTACTGCTGACATCATCAGAATGATCAGCTCACGCTATTCATGCAGGAAACGTCATTAATGCAGCAGCAAACACTGATATTCAGCTCAACATATATGATGCAGAGACACAACAACACAATAACCTGTACAACACTGGACCTCATCCAAATATTAAAAGTTAATAATATGTTTGTAATACATGTTCAAAATTCTCATTAGTGCAGAATAATTATTTTTCCTTTTTTATCTCATGATTAATAAACTAAGAGGATTAGAGCCACAAACTTTAATCTCAGAATCATTAGTTTAAAGTCTAATTAACATGTTATTCTATATCTGGTGACTTTTATCACTTTCTTCTCATTTCAGGTCCTTTATATTCTGTTGTTCCTTACAGGACCTGCGTGGAGGATCTAGTGACATCTAGTGGTGAAGCTGCAGATTGCAACCAACTGAACACCCCTCCCCTCCTCACCCCTCCCTCTCCTAGAGTGAGAACCTACAGTGGCCTTCAGGTAAAACACAGAGCTGGTCTCTAGAGCCAGAGTTTGTTTGTCTGCTCTGGGCTCCTGTAGAAACACGAGGACCTGCTGTAGATATGGAGCATCATTCTGAGCTGATTACATTCTTTTATATATATACAGTATATTATATTCCATGATCTCTCTAAATCCTACACACTGGCCCTTTAATTCTGTCAGTGAACATTAACATGTTGGTATCATCATTTAGTGACTAATATGTTTATGTAAGAAAAACAAAACACATTTGCTGTTGTATTAATTATTAGTGTGTAAACATCGTGTGCAGGAGTGAGGGTCGCTGGCGTTACAGTATTGTAGCAGCTGCACCTGGACAGGTAGGAGCTGCAGCTGTCAGGTGACTGACAGAGGTCAAACATCTGAGAGCAGGTGGAAGTAATAACTGGCTGCATTCATACAGCACCTCAATGTCCAGAGCTTCATAGGTCACATGATCACCAAAAGAAGTTCATGACATTAGCTGGACTTGTCTGTCTGTGGTGATCTCAGTTAAAAATGAACCAGTCAGTCTTAGTCTCCGCCCCCATCTGAGAGGAGACTGTTCTTACTTCAGTACATGAAGTCTTTGAAGCATCTTAAAATGAAAGTCATTTAAATCATATGGTTCAATTCTTTTAATGCACAGTAAAACTGATCATGCAGAAAGTCTGTGATCGCTGTTGGTTTGTACTTGAGGAGCTCAGCTCATCTCACTCAGGAACATGTTTTCACTGTTTCTGAAGACGATGCTGTTTCATTCATCAACAACCCTCCTGATCAATATGATATTACAATATTAGTTAACACATATTAAACCAGCATGACTCACTGTCAAGCTGCATTCACAAGAGCTATGTCTCAGCTGACCTCCCAGAACACTTCTACCTTCTCTACTTCAGAGTTCACTGAACACGTCTTCATCTGTGTCAAAGACAAACTGTCTGTCCAACAGCAGCAGGACTGGACCTCTGAGGGAAGCTCTGATGCTCAGACCTGCCGTGAACACAGGTAATCCAACCACAGGTGAACAGCTCATAAGTCCACACCTGGCAGCAGAATGACCATGTGACACGTGAATCATCTCTGTTTGCAGAGAGCGAACTGTGTGGTTGTGTGAAATAGTAAAAGAATATAGAAGATCAATATGTGGTGGTTCATGGTGACATCATAAATCAATGCATGTGAAACACTGAGACTGGGACCAATCAGTCAGTAGAGTGGGCGGTCCTTCAGTGTGGCCACATGGTCCAGACCACCTCTGAATGTGGTCTGAGTGGTCAGATCTCTGAACAGATGTGATTGGGTGTGAACAGGTGTGACCAGGTGTGAACAGGTCCTTAGATATAAGAAACAGGCGATCAAACTATTTTTCAGGCCAAACAAACAGATAATTAATCATTCTAATAAAGTCAAGCCGCTGCTGGTCATCAAAACAACAAGCCTGCTGTGATGTCATAGTGGGAGGAGCTTCCTGCCACTCATCTACAACTCTAGTCCAGACATTAAAAGGTGGATGAAGGTCTGAACTAAGAACAATACTTAATTGACTTTCAACATTCATTTAAATGTTTTTAGATTTGATGAACTGAAAAGATTTTATTCTACATGTTATGATGTAAGACGTGAAGTCTTTTATATGTATTCACTATTTGATTGATTGATTGATTGATTGATAGTACAGGTTATTGGCTGCTGCTGATGTTTTCATCATCCTAGATGTGTGAGTCTACAGAGGACAGAATCAGAGGACAGAATCAGACGACTGAATCAGAGGACAGAATCAGGACAGAGGACAGAAACAGACAACTGAATCAGAGGACAGAATCAGGACAGAGGACAGAATCAGACAACTGGATCAGAGGACAGAATCAGGACAGAGGACAGGATCAGAGGACAGAATCAGACGACAGAATCAGACAACTGAATCAGGACAGAATCAGAGGACGGAATCAGGACAGAGGACAGAATCAGACAACAGAATCAGACGACAGAATCAGACGATGGAATCAGAGGACGGAATCAAAGGACGGAATAAGAGGCCAGAGGACAGAATCAGACGACAGAATCAGGACAGAGGACAGAGTTAGACGACAGAATCAGAGGACGGAATCAGGACAGAGGACAGAATCAGAGGACAGAATCAGGACAGAGGACAGAGTTAGACGACAGAATCAGAGGACGGAATCAGGACAGAGGACAGAATCAGAGGACAGAATCAGGACAGAGGACAGAGTTAGACGACAGAATCAGAGGACGGAATCAGGACAGAGGACAGAATCAGACAACTGAATCAGGACAGAATCAGAGGACGGAATAAGAGGACAGAGGACAGAATCAGACGACAGAATCAGAGGACGGAATCATAAGACAGAATCAGACAACAGAATCAGAGGACAGGATCAGGGCAGAGTACATAATCAGATGACAGAAGCAGAGGACAGAATCAGGACAGAATGACAGAATCAGACGACAGAATCAGGACAGAGGACAGAATTAGACGACAGAATCAGAGGACGGAATAAGAGGACAGAATAAGAGGACAGAATCAAACAACAGAATCAGAGGACAGAATCAGGACAGAATCAGACGACAGAATCAGAGGACAGAATCAGACGACAGAATCAGAGGACAGAATCAGAGGATGGAATAAGAGGACAGAGGAAAGAATCAGAGGACAGAATGACAGAATCAGAGGACAGGATCAGAACAGAGGACAAGATCAGGACAGAATCAGAGGACAGAATGACAGAATCAGAGGACAGGATAAGACAACAGAGAAAAGAATCAGAGGACAGAATGACAGAATCAGGACAGAGGACAGAATCAGGACATAATCCGAGGACAGAATGACAGAATCAGACGACAGAATCAGGACAGAGGACAGAATGAGACGAGAGAATAAGAGGACGCAATAAGAGGACAGAATCAGAGGACGAAATAAGAGCACAGAATCAGGAAAGAATCAGACAACAGATTCAGAGGACAGCATAGGAGGACAGAATCAGAGGACGGAATCAGACGACAGAATCAGACGACAGACTCAGAGGACAGAATCAGGACAGAGGACAGAATCAGAGGACAGAGGAAAGAATCAGAGGACAGGATCAGACAACAGAGGACAGAATCAGAAGACAGAATCAGGACAGAATCAGATGACAGAATGACAGAATCAGACGACAGAATCAGAGGACAGGATCAGAGGACAGAATCAGGACAGAGGACAGAATCAGAGGACAGAGAAAAGAATCAGAGGACAGAATGACAGAATCAGGACAGAGGACAGAATCAGGACAGAATCAGAGAACAGAATGACAGAATCAGACGACAGAATCAGGACAGAGGACAGAATTAGACGACAGAATCAGGCAACAGAATAAGAGGACGGAATAAGAGGACAGAATCGGGACAGAATAAGAGGACAGAATCAGGAAAGAATCAGACGACAGAATCAGAGGACGGAATAAGAGGACAGAATCAGAGGACAGAATTAGAAAAGAATCAGGACAGAATCAGACGACAGAATCAGGACAGAGGACAGAATCAGAGGACAGAGGAAAGAATCAGAGGACAGAATGACAGAATCAGAGGACAGGATCAGGACAGAGGACAGAATCAGAAGACAGAATCAGATGACAGAAAGACAGAATTAGACGACAGAATCAGAGGACAGAGGACAGGATCAGAGGACAGAATCACAGGACAGAATCAGGACAGAGGACAGAATCAGGACAAAATCAGACAACAGAATCAGAGGACAGAATCAGAGGACGGAATAAAAGGACAGAGGAAAGAATCAGAGGACAGAATGACAGAATCAGAGGACAGGATCAGACGACAGAGGACAAAATCAGAGGACAGAGGAAAGAATCAGAGGACAGAATCAGAGGACAGGATCAGAGGACAGAATCAGGACAGAGGACAGAATCAGGACAAAATCAGACAACAGAATCAGAGGACAGAATCAGAGGACGGAATAAAAGGACAGAGGAAAGAATCAGAGGACAGAATCAGAGGACAGGATCAGAGGACAGAATCAGGACAGAGGACAGAATCAGGACAAAATCAGACAACAGAATCAGAGGACAGAATCAGAGGACGGAATAAAAGGACAGAGGACAGAATCAGAGCACAAAATGACAGAATCAGAGGACAGAATATGGACAGAGGACAGAATTAGATGACAAAATCAGACGACAGAATAAGAGGACGGAATCAGACGACAGAATCAGACGACAGAATAAGAGGACAGAATCAGGAAAGAATCAGACGACAGAATCAGAGGACGGAATAAGAGGACGGAATCAGATGA